GTTACTTCATTTCTTAACCAGAAAATTTTAGACATTTTTGTTTTGTCCTGTCCCAGCCCCACTGTCCTAAAGTTCACAAAGAAAATTACCCATTATAATGTGATTCTAAAACAGAATAATTTTTTTTCTACAGAGGAATTTACTTGACATCCCTTAATTTATTTTATTTTGTTCAAAGTATATTTTTATTTTCTTCCAGTTCTACTTAAGTCTGTGGCAGTGATATTCACAGGGATGAAAGCCATGATGGATCTAGAGGATGCATTAATTATAAAAACATAAATGGGTGAAAATACCCCTATAATTCTCTAAACCCATTTCTTCAGTCATGACCCCTTTGTGCAAATATTTCCAATCCTTTTCCATGAGAAGGAATAAGAGAGATGGCATTTCCTCTGCAGTGAATGCAGCACCCAGTTTTGATGCTATATTTTCAGTTCTCCCTGGTGGAAATGCATCTTCTTTGTAATTTTGTCTAGATTATTTAGACAACTTTTAATCTTCAGAGCCTTATGCTGTAACCTATGCCTTCATCCTTGAAATGTACATTTTTTTTGTTCCTGATCCTGTTGAGTTCTTTTTATTTTTAATATGTTTAATTATAATATATTTCAAACATACAGAAAAGTATAAAAATAGTGAGACACTCATGGTAATTTTTTTTAATTAAAGTTTATTGCAGAGACAATGGCTAGGAAAGCTAACATAGGTTTCAAGTGTCCAATTCTGTAATACATCATCTATCACATTGTGTGTTCACCACCCAGAGTCAGTTCTCCTTCCATCACCATATATTTGAGCCTGTTTACCTTCATCTACCACCCCACCTTCACCCTTTACCCTCTGGTAACCACTAAACTATTGTCTATGTCTATGAGTTCTTGTTTCTTTAATTGTTTATCCTGTTCCTTTGTTGTTTTCAGTTTTATATCCCCCATATTAGTGAAATCATATGGTTCTCGACTTTTTCTGCCTGACTTATTTCACTTAGCATAATAATCTCAAGATCCATCCATGTTGTCACAAATGGCACTATTTAATCTTTTTTTATGGTAGAATAGTATTCCATTGTGTATATATACCACATCTTCTTTATCTAATCATCTGTCGAAGGACACTGGTTGTTTCCATGTCTTGGCCACCGTAAGTAAAGCTGCAGTGAACATCAGAGCACATATATCTTTACAGATAAAGTTTTCAGATATTTTGGCTATATATCGAGGAGAGAGATTGCTGGGTCATATGGTAAGTCTATTCTTAAATCTTTGAGGAACCTCCATACCACCTTCCATAGTGGCTGTACCAATCTGCATTCCCACCAACAGTATATGAGGGTTCCTTTTTCTCCACAGCCTCTCCAACACTTGTTATTATTTGTCTTGTTGATAATAGCCATTCTAACTGGTGTGAGGTGATATCTCATTGTGGTTTTTATTTGCATCTCTCTGATTAGTGATGTTGAGCATCTTTTCACATGTCTGTTGGCCATCTGTATGTCCTCTTTGAAGAGATGTCTATTCAGGCATTCGTGATAATTTAACATTAACAAATGTTACCAATTTGCCTTATTTTATCTGGTCTTTCTTTTTAAAAACAATACAATGTTGAAGGTAGCCCTTCTCCTTTTTTCATCCCCCTGTATCCCTCCCAGAAGTAACCAGTATGCTGAAGTTGGTATTTGTTTTTCCTGTATAAGATTTTATAATTTGACTACATATGTATGTAGCCAGTGCAGTGGCTATGCTGTGTGTTTGGAGTTCTTTTTTTCAACTCTGCCTCTTGTGTGTATGCATCTTTTCTTGCCAACCTTATTTCTCACCCCACCTCACCCCTCCATGGAAAAGGAAGCCAGAAAGAGCTGAAGGCGCCCTGATCTTTTCTGCTTCCTTCTTTCTCCTTGGCTATTTTCTTCTTACTCTATACCATATATTACATACTCTGCGCCATTCAACTCTACTTCCTGTCTCTTTTTCTTCCTTTGTTTTTGGTGCCCCAGCATTCATTCACTTTAATTTCTGTTTGTGGCCTTGAAGACTCACAACCTCAGTTTTTCTCTGCCCTCATTTGGGACAGGTAAGATGATGTTTCTGAAAAGCTGAGAGAGAAATGTCGTTTATTTACTTTCAAGTATAGAAACACTCCCAATGGAAGATGGGGCAGAGCTCTGTGTCTTAGAGGAACTGAAACTTTATAGTATCAGATATGAATTACCTATAATTAGCATGTTTGCTGTTTAAATGTCATGCTAAAGCATTTGCTATTAGGTTAATAGTCATCTTTTGCAAACTTAATTTGCTTAACAAACTTCTGTTTATTTTCCTCAATATCAGTAATGTCTCATTTTATGAGCTATATATAATAGAGATTTTTACATTTCTCTTTAAATTATCCAAAGTGAAGTTTACTGTAAGAAGGCCTTTTTCCTTTTTTTTTTTTTCATTTAAAGTGTATTATTTACCTACCATGTGCAAAGCACTATGAGTGGTGATAGACTGGGGCTGTACTCTTCAGGGACATAACACATGGTCATGACAGATATTCAGGGCTGAGAAGAGGTTATAATCTTAGGCAAGAAGACAGACATTTATTCAGATACTACAAGATGAGGACATTTATTCAGGTACTGTGAGGGAAAACACCCAGGGCGGGGAGAACAAGGTGAACAAGGGGCAGTAGTGCTGAGTATTCTTGGCTTGTGTAAGAAGCTGTTGTAGGGGTGGTTGAGGACAAAATAAAAATCCTTGATTGTATGTTTTTCAGTGTTTGAGAAAATGAGAGTTTAGAGACGAACAGTATATAGTCTGGCCATCACAAATCTTAATTCTATCATTAGGTAATAGTTTCAGTTTTCCCATAGATGTTTTGATATCACACATTCCATTAGCTCTCTCTGACCTCCCACATCCAAACAAAACATGAAGGAGCTAAGAGTAAGAATGGACAGAAATTGCCTAAAATCTTTATCAACTATGATCAGACTATGTCTTTGATCTAAATGCTCTCCTGTAAGGCCTGTGCTAAGACTGTTCTTGATTTCCTTTTCCAGTACATGTTCTGAAATATAATTTAGGCCCTTTACCAGCTTCTTGCTATCCGCAGACCCCCTACCTGGGGCCACCACTGTCTTTTTCTAATGATTCAAAATTATAAATTCTAACATGCATGCAACACATTAATCCACTGTGTGTTCACAGGAGCGGTGTCCTCAGTTGGTAGAAGAGGAGGAAAGTTACTTTATAATTGAAGGTGGAGCTTTTGTAGCATCTTTTAAATCTGATATTCTGCAGTTTATCATTAAGCCTCTTCACAGCTCACTTTCCTTCCTTACTGTTTATGATTTAGGTACACAGATGACATTTTTCTATTATACCAAGTGGATAAATATTAAGAATTCATGTTTTAACCTCTTTTCCTAGTCAGAAAAGAATCAAGAACACTAAGACTTACATTTACAGGTGGTAAGGAATACCAGCTATTTAGCATTTTTTATTTTTAAAAATGTACATGTTAACTTCTATTTTAAGAAAATAGACTCCTTTAAAGTCATAGCTCCTAGATCACAAGGGGCCTAATGAGTACACAGGTGACACGTCTGCTGCAATAGCTTTAGATTAAGGATTTTAGCTGGAAGTGAATTTTACTATAAAAGGTTCTAAGAAAGCAGCTTTATATTTAGAAGTTTTAGTAAATTTAAATAGTTTTGAGATATAGAGGGACATCTGCTCCCTTTAAGCTTTCCCAAATGACACTACATATTTTATGTTTTAGAAGATAGAGATTGAGGCAATAAGATAAAACCCGAAGTTTTTTTTTTTGTTTTATTTTGTTTCGTTTTGTTTTTTTTTTCTTTCCCAAAAGCCACCAGTGTTTTCATAAATCCAGTATCTGTGACTTAGCATGATAAAAGGTGATAGTTGATATACCTGATTCTTTAATGCTGAGGAGGAAAAAGCATGTAAATGCTTGAGAGTCAATGAGTGTGATGAAAAGAAAAACAAAAAAACACTTTCTTGGAAATCAGGAGGTAGGAAAATTTGCAAGATTTTCCACAAACTTCAGTTTAATAATGGAGTTTTTGTACCTTTTCTGTTTCATAGTTTCTTCATCCATCAAAATTGAGGTTTATTGCCTTTCTTCCTAGTTCCACTAGTTTCTATTGTGGTAGTGCTTGTTAAACTTCCACTATGCTTATTTCTGTGCTGGCAGTGATTTTACACGTCTCTTCTCATTTAATCGTCAACCTATCAAGCAATAGGAGGTCAGCCATTTTGAAACGTGGCTTCGGAACTCCAGCTCCAGCTCACAGTGCTAAGGCAGTGGTTCTCAAGTGCAAGTCTGCAGATAGGTTTCCATCCATCATGAATTTCCCCCCAGTCTATGGGAAGTAAAACAAATAGACCCTGTTGTGAAATTTTCATAAAGCTAATGATATTTTATTCAATTATTCCTTTCCCCCTTTTATTAAAAATATATGTTGATTTACAAAACAATAATGAAAGTAGAAAACTTTACAGGTCCCTGCTTATCAAAGTAAAACATTTGGAAACCTGTTGGTCCTCCCCCCCCCCATTTTTATGTGTTTGTAGATCTTAAAGCATCACAGCACTTGACTTCAAAAATATTGTCTCAAACAATCTAAATTGGCATGTGCACTTGCCAATTTTAAGAGCAAAGCTATTAAAATACAAAGAGAGGAAAGTGTTTTTTAGACATTTAATTGATATTTAGCAATTATTTCGAGTTTATATTTAATCTAGTGGTGATGCAGTCATATCTGTTGCAGCTTCATTCTGATTTAGTGTCATCTTCGTTGGGTTTTTAACTGTGAATATTTAATATAACTTCTGGCAAGACATATTTTTCAAGGGAATGTTATTCCCTGAAGGGAGATATCCTTCCCCACTTTTCACGAAAGCCTTGGTTCAGTAATCAATCCCATTGATTTGTCATTTGTTGGTCCTCTTTAATGCTGATAGTGCTCTGCTTTACTTTTTCCTTAGTGATACAAATGAAGTTGACATACCACCCAACACTCGAGTTGGCACCAAACGTTATATGCCTCCAGAAGTGTTGGATGAGAGCTTGAATAGAAATCACTTTCAGTCTTACATCATGGCTGACATGTACAGTTTTGGACTCATCCTTTGGGAGGTTGCCAGGAGATGTGTATCAGGAGGTAAGTAACAGTGATACTTTAGGAGCTACTACAAATCCTTTTTTCTGATCAGAAGTCAAAGTTATCATGTCCACAATAATCAGATTTTCTTTTATTTTTTCCTTTATATCTATTGATGCAGTCACAGTCCTCCCAGGAAATGACATTTCACATCTTAGAATGATCTTTGGTAGCCTCTTTTCTTCAGCCTACTACTGAGGAGTCTGTTCTAGACACATTGTCAACTTCTTTTGCCTTTTCAAAGATCACCCCCTTTTACTGTATGTATTGTCTCATGTCCCCCTTGATATCTTTCTCCAGCAGTTGCTCCATCAAGTCAACCCCCTTCCCCACCCCTTCCAGCTTCTTATTACCAGCCTTCTGGGCTCCATCCCCAACTCCCGTTCCCTATTTCCTGTGTCTTCTCTGTGCAGGTGAAGTTACAGACATAAATGTGGACTGGGACACCCATTGTTTAACTCACCTACTTCTGGGCTTTCTGTAAAACTTCCTCATAAAGCAGTTTGGAAATATCAGTTTATATCAAAAGGAAATTAAAACATAAGGATATTATTATTGATCATGATAATTTTTCTACAAACATCAGGATTCCCTAGTAAGACTAACTAAATAAGAAGACATCCTTAACCCTCTGTCGGGCGCAACTGATCTCACAGATTCATTGCACACAATTTTTCAAATATCTAACAGTTAAGTATTGTGACTCATCACTTCTGTATCTTCCCCCTTTACCATAACTGATTGCCAGTCATATTTGTGACTTAGTACAGTAAAGACATCGTCCATATTTGAAAATTTGTGTGCAATGAATCTGTGAGATCAGTTGCGCCCGACGGAGGGTTAAATATTCAGAGGTGGTATTATTTCTTGTGTAGTAGTTTGTTTATTGCTATGCAACTTGTCTCTGCATAGACTCTAGGCTCTTTAGTATCAGGTACACCATTTATGGATCTACCTGTGGTTGTGCTTGTTAAGAAGCCCTGATGCTGCTGCTGCTCCTCATGATGGCCAGTTAAACTCACTTTCATGGAGACTTGAGCTTGTCCCAGATTCTGAGTGTAGCCTACACTTAACTAGTACTGGCATTTGTTCTTGGACCTGCCATTTATTATCTGTGAACCTTTCACAGTTATTAAACTTTTCTTTGTTTCAGTTTTCTCATGTTAAGGAGGAAGTAAATTATCATATCAGCCTAAAATGGTTGTGAGGTTTCAATGATTGTAAAGAGAATTAAAACCACCTGGCCATAAATAGCGCTCGGTACATGTTAGCTATTATTTTAAATTTTCATTTTGGTTGGTAGAGCCTTAAGTTATTTACACGTAAGGAGAAACAGCTAATCAACAGGCATTCACACTTTGTGGGAAGATTATCTTCAGTGATGCAGTGTGCCTTCTAATCACTCTGGGAATTCTGAGCCTCTCATAAGTTTAATTTAAAACAGAACATATTCTCTCTAAAGTGAGACAACTCTTTATGTCCAAAAGGAAAGTTAATATAGGAAATTTTTCCTAACCAGATACTGTATAACTCTCCCACCATGATTATCAAAAATAAAAGAAGTAGCCAAGATACAAATTAATGAATTGCCTATGCCTTGATGTCATGTTTTATAGAGAGTAGATGACCTTTTTTGAATAATATGTTTACACCTATGTAAGATAGGTTTATAGGAGCAGTAGAGTATAAGATTACTTTTCTAATTATTTTTTTCCTCAACAAGCAAATAGCTCTAAAGCAAACAGGGCCATAAGAAGCCTATACTGGAAAGCCTGTGGGCCAGAATATAGGAGAAATTATTCTCATCTTAAAACCAAGCTGAGGTATTAATTTCTTTGCCAGGAATGTCTGGGCCTCTGGAGGTTTGAGAGGCACTAAACTGTACCCTTATCTCTATGAGATTGTCATGTATTTGTCAGAGATGTGAGATTCCCATCTCTATCCCATATAAACTGTATGGCCTTGAGCTAGTTACTGAATCCCTCAAAACCAAGTTTCCTCATCCATAATGTTGTCTCATAAATGTACTTGTAATAATTTAATAAGGTATATTAATGTCAAATCACTATGTATACCTGAAATTAATATAATATTGTGTGTCAACTATGCTTTAATAATAATTTTGAAAAAGGATATATAGCATACCTACCTCCATGCCTGGTAGAGAGTAGACTCACACAAATGAGTTTTTGTTGTTTTGTTTTGTTTTGTTTTCCCAAAGAGGCATAGCACACAAAATCCTAATTTCCAACACTCTTTTTTATGAAGATGTTAGAAGTTTGGGGCTAGTCTTTCTAGTCATGGCACTTTGGGGTAAATTAGACAAATCCAGGCAGGCCTTTCAAACTTTGGAAGGAAAAGAGAGAAAGTTTTGAGGTTTCGGAAGCAATTAAATGGCAGCTAATATGGATACTCTCATATCGTAATTGCATAATAAAGAGAAAGGAATAAGTTTGAAGATAGATTTTGATTAATTCATAATTTTATGTGACTGGCTCTGTCTTTTGTAGCATATACACCTACCCTAGTGCACATTTGTCAATTCAGTTAGGCAGTGGCATCAACATTCAGCACTGCAAAAATATGAGATGAGTAAGATAGACACAGTCTTTGCCCTCCAGATGTGTGCAGAACCGTTGTCTTGAGAATTAGAAAGGGAGGAAGAACTGAAATGAAGTGAGCATCTCCTATGTTTTAGACCCTGTGCTTCTATTATCTCATATAGAGATGAAGCACAATGCAAGGAAATGTTAACGTAGATAATACATATAATTATGCTGTATGGTTTGGCGGGGGACAGAATACAGTCTGAGAAAACTTTTGAACCTTCTGGTCCTTTATGATTATACATGTGTCTGAGTTTACTTTTTAAAGGGCATAGTAGAGATTCCAGATTTTGTCAGAGTAGATCCCCAATGAATTTATCCCTGGTGATGCTTAGATAATCTGCCATCCTGGTGATGTCATCTTGTTGAGGTAAAAAGCAGTGACATTTCTATAAAAGGTGATTTAGGACAGGGAGTAAGGGCGTTCCAGCGAAATTGTTCAGAGCAGCATCCTCTGAAGAACTAAACCACTAATAACCTATGTTGTAAGGACAAGAAGGAAAAAGTAGAAATGAGATACTAGGAAAAATGAGATGGAATTTAGCACAATAAATGCCATTTACCTAAAAATGACATAGCTTTGTGTTTCGTAACCCTTCTTTTAACAATACATATATATTTTTTCTAATAGTAATGTATTCCTTGTAGAAAGTCTGGATAAGTACAGAAAATTTGAAGAAGAACTAAAAATCAGACAGTCCTTGTGCCTAAAAAATATTTTTAGGTGTGTGTAATTTTCCAAATTTTAAATGTTCAAAACCACATTCTTATGATTAAGCAAAAAAAAAAAAGTAAATCCGACATTTTGTTCAAGTAAAATACACTGCCAAATTTATTATGAAATTCACAATCTCATACTGTCGTAATAGAAACAATTACATATTATGCATTATGAGTTTGGGATGTGTCTGCCAAGTTTGCGTTGAGATTTAATATAGATTTTTTTTTTAATTTGGCATGCAAGGGTTTATAAAATTGGAAATAAAGTTGAGGTGCTTGTTTTCCTTAACTTTTGGAAATTAAAAAAAAAACGCTTGAAGACCAATAATAATATGTTTCATTAGGCTTTCTAGTCATTTTAAAAATAAAATGATCCTTGGGTCCCATTGTTTCATGATTTATTTTGCTCTTTTTCATCCCGAACTTGTCTTGAGGACTGACAGAACTTTTCTTTGAGAACAGTGTGTGAGTTAGGATTCATTTTTCTACTTCACAGAAAAAGGTAATAATAAACCCTATTTTCAGGTATAGTGGAAGAATACCAGCTTCCCTATCATGATCTCGTGCCCAGTGACCCCTCCTATGAGGACATGAGAGAGATCGTGTGTATCAAGAAGCTCCGTCCCTCATTCCCGAACCGGTGGAGCAGCGATGAGGTAAGGCTCGAGGTAACTGTGTGCTATGACCAACCTCAAAACAGACTTCTGTCTTTTTGGCCCAAACGCCAAATACTCATTACAGGAATTCTTCTTTGTTTTGACGGCGATGGTAATGGTGCCTCGCTGCAATAATTTATATGGAGCTAAGTGGAGCACGGCCAGTTACTTGTTCCTTTTTTCTAATTTGATTTTGCCACTTCCAAAATATATTGAAGTGGATTAGCATTTAGCCTGGATAACAGATAACATTATTTCATTTATTTGTGATGTCCTGACATTTTCATAAAGGCTGTTATTTCTCTGTGTATGTGTTTTTAAAGCATCATGAATTTTCTTCACGACAAACCCACATACAACGTTCTCTCATTTTGAAGAGAGAACAGATAGGCATCTGAAAAATCCAGTTTTCTATACACAGAAGTGATACTGGTTGAGATGCCCGACTGTGCTGGGCATCTTTGCTAATAAGATGCCATTTGAGGGAATCCACCTGCAGCTAGGCTCTCAGGATATGGTTGTGAAACTAAACAGGTCTGCAAAGGAGCTGGTCAGATGGAGGAAAGGAGTGGGGTGGGGCCTTTGCTGAGTCATCTGCTCCCCATTCTGTCCATCCATCCAGGAAACGTAAACTTGCCCAAGTCCTGGAGTGCTCTGGCAAGCTGGAACATTCAGAGATGAGTTTGAAGCATCCCGGGGGGAGGAGGGAAAAGACTCAGCAAACATGTACCAAAGCCACTGCAAACAAATGGACAGAGCACTGTTTATAAACTCATTCTTCAGTGTTAAATACGTTTTAAAATAACCTTTGGTTCATTGGTTTTGTGTCTAGTTACTGAAACACTGAATAAGGCCTATGTTTTCCAATGAGCTGTGCAGAACACTTTATCAGATGCCAGAGCTATATTATTTTGAAGGTGGTTATGGGCACTGGTATTACCCCACATTCCTTCACTGAGGATGTCTAAGGGAGTGAAATTATGCTTTTCAACATAAAACCAATAATCGAGGTACCACAGGAGAAAGTTGTAGCAAGGCTCGGCACAGGTCATTAATCTTGTTAAATGTGACAGTGTGGTGCTGTTATTGTAGCAGACACCTATGATTTAGGAATATCCATGTTTGTTTGAATAGTATGGAATTAGAGAAAAGATTTAAGCTTATCAAGTGTTATAAGCAATCTGGGAGTGTGGAGTGGAATACAGACTCCCTAGGTATTTTTGTATTTAGTTAATACCGACTTCAAAGACACTCTCCTACAATCAGCAAAACCGCCTGCATGGCCCCATCAGAAGGAAGCTGTGAAAATCTGTTTTAGGCATTGAAAATTTGCATGAAAAAAAGAAAATTTACAGGATTTTATCTACATGGTTTAAACAGTATCTCTTAAAAATATATTCAAACTTCAGAAACCCCAAACTAAAAGCCAGAGACCAAGTGCCAGACTTGCAGACAATAAATACATTTCTCTCGTGTTACCCCCGATTTTCCCTTTCCCTTCCTGCAGTGTCTCAGGCAGATGGGGAAACTCATGACGGAATGCTGGGCTCACAATCCTGCATCGAGACTGACAGCCCTGCGTGTTAAGAAAACACTTGCCAAAATGTCAGAGTCCCAGGACATTAAACTCTGATTTGAGGGGAAAAAAAAAAATACACACCACTGGAAAAAGACAGTAGATATCCTGTTTATGGGCAGAGCAAAAGATGTTCCAGAAGCATCCACAGTACAATCCTTGAACATAGTCCTGCTTCCCTGTGGGTTCAGTCTCACCTCTCAGGGAGCCGCCTGGACAAAGATGGAGAAGTTCCCGGAAACACAGAGTCATCGTGTCCATCTGTAGGAGGGAGAAACCGCTCGGGTAACTTGTTCAAGATATGGTGCATGTTGCTTTCTAAGAAAGCCCTGTATTTTTGGATGGTCTTTTTTTTTTTTTCTTTTCAAAAGATGCTTTAATTTTGCCAAAATAAAAGAAATAATTTAGATGTTTTAAGGTTTATACTATTATAGTTTAAATAATAACAAAAAAGTTCTTCCCAGAAATTCTGCTGGAAGGTTAAATTAAAATATGTGTGTTTTCATTGGTAAAATCCTGTTGCACTCTACAAACCAAAAGACAGTCTGTGAAGTGAGAGAATGCAGAATGGAACTCATCTGAAAAGCCCCCGCCCCTGCCTCCTCAGACCACTCTGGCCAGCCCTGCACTGGGGCTGGCTGCTATGGCAATGTGAATGCACCTGAGTACAAACACCACCTGTCTGGGACCACATTTTGGGGTTCCTGCAGGAGACCTTTTGCAGCTTCAGATGATATGGAACAAATGAAGATTTTTATGTGACTCTGTTAGAAGTAAGTGTCCATGCTATTCTGCAGAACTATGTTGCCTTCTGATTCTGTTAGGCATATCTTTCATGGTATAACCCCTTCCTTTTCATTAAACACAAACAAAGCTCTTTTTTATGTGCAGAGAACTGACCCAGGCATGCTTTTGATCTCTTAAATGAAAGGGGCAATGTTAAATAAAATTGCCATCCATTGTGTTGAAGACAAGACATTTTAAAATAGAGATAATTTGCTCGAGTGTTATAAGAAGACCATGTCAGTAAAGTAAGGGATGAAGGCGGGTGGCTTGTTTCTTATACATTCAGATGAGCCAATCTCAGAAGCACAGGGGAAAAGTATGCACAACTTATTTTGTATAGATAAAGCTGGTTTCATTTGTTATTGTCTCTCTTTTGTGTCTGAATTAATGGAAGGAAGCATATGTGAGGTTAAGTTAACTAAATTTTAATTTAAAAATAGATAAATATAACCTCCAAATGGGATGGCAGAGGGGAGTCAGTGGAGGCCACAAATATTACGGCTGCTGTGATTTATTATTCTAGAATAGATATGAATCGACTAGACATCTTAAGTGATAATTTCACATCTTAGGTATGCTAACAGTTTATTTTATTTTATCCTCATGATCAATTCACTTTTTAATTTATTATTTTTATATACTTTGAGGCACTAGTGCAAAACATCTCTTCACCTCCTCATTTCTATGGAGTTTTAACTTTTGAGCAACATATGTCACGTCATTAACGGAGCCAATATTCCTGAGCAACAGTTAACATATCACTTAAAATTGTACACATCCCTCTCACCTTTATTCATGTACCTTTCCTTCCTATGGTTTTCTTTTGCTTCTTAGAAATTCTGTAGGGTTTAGTGAAGAATTCAGATGTACTTCCCCTTGGCCTTTTTAAGAAAGACGTTCCTTCCACAACACTCCAGGGGGCAGTGTTTTATAATACATTTTCACCACTTGGCGACTGAAGGATGGAAGTTTTTGGAAAATTTGACAGCTGCATGAAAAATGAGGAAATGTTTTCCTCACTTCTGAAGGAGGCTTGCAGCTGCTGACTTGTTCATTCAGAAAACATCCTAGAGCAGAGAGTGGCTGTGAGCTGTGCTTACATTTGGGAAAATCATAAGAAGAAACACAGTGTTCCATATTCAGCATTCACTTCCCAATGCTTCATAGCCACATTTTGTTTGCAACAAAAAAAGAACACTTTCTTAATTCTGGAATATGAATAAAATTTCTGTTTTTGTCCCAAAATGAAAAACAGTTGGTTCCAAATATACTTATAATCAGAAGGCTGCTTTTGGTGATATTTAAATAATCTGAATAGCAATGTAAAGGTTTCTTTTCTCTTGTGTTCAATGGTATTCTTTGTGATAGCTTAGAAAGAATATGTGGCTGGAATTAAGTGTGAGAATCATCTGAGCCGTGGAGAGAAGCTTCAGTGCCTCTAATCAGATCATCTACAAACAAATAAGTAAACATTTACGCTGGTTAAATAAGTGGGCACATGTTTTTTGTTCCTTGACATTTCCTAAATTTAAGTGAGGTTGGACTTATCTCTTGGATAAAAATGTCTGTTCTTTTTAGTAAGTTTTATACATGGATAACTTCAAATCGGAATAGTTGGTGGGGATTCAATGATTTGAAAGTAAACTAGATTTCTAGGGAGATGCTGGTTCCAATGAAGAATGGAAGGAAATTTCTTCTACATTATTTTGTTTTAGTTGCTTTGGAAAAATCAATAGCTTACTTTCTAATCCTCAACTTGATTTTGTCACTATGGATATTTAAAAATTATTCCTGAGGTATTTCAAAAGACCCTTTTAATTATTATAGTCTTTCAATGTGACAAGAATTTATTTATGAATAGATTTTCTCTGTTGTCCTACCAAAATCCAGCTTACTTAGGGAATACTAAATTGTCCTTAAAGAGACTACCTACTCACTTCCACATAATCCGTTTTGATTTTTAAATTTCTAGTAGCTCAGAAGTGAATTTTATTTTTTTGTTTTGTCTTTCAATAGAGTAAGTGGGAACCTGGAAATTAAAGTGTAGTTGTTTTTTTATTATCAGGAATGCTTCAAAGACTAAGATTTTCTTCTAGTTGCTCCCCCACTAAAGGAATCCTAAAATATTAGTTGCTAGCTAATATAAGCTTTGTATGCTAAGATGTTCAGGTTTATCGTTTATGTATGTGTGTATATATTATATAAATATATGTATATATAAATATTATGTTCAGTTTGGAGTCTGGCACAACTCCATTTTGTGGATTAGAGAGTAAAATATTATGGACAATAAAGTACTAAATGAAACATAATATTTATTTATGAACGTGTGTAGATTGTTAAATCACAAGTGACAGTGGTATGAACATTGTGTGTGAGGTGACAGGCCTTTGACTTCCTGGAAAGCACCGCTCAAAAGTCACTAGTGACCATTCTTTTTATTCTCAAAACATTAAGTTTCTTAGAAAACATGCTAAAGTCTTTATTTGCAGGGAATTTTTTGTTTCATTTGTGTAGTCAGGTATGGCAAGTACTGAATAACAACTGAATTTTATGTTCCTAGAGTCATGCATATTCATTAGAAGTTACAGTGTTTTATGTTGTTGGTCTGTTCTGGTTCTTTGTTTGGAGGTGGACAGAGACTGAAAGAAGTACAATTTTTAAACTTGAATAGTTCTGTAGTTATATCTCCTTAGGAAACTCAGTCACATAGCAATGGAAATCGGAGAAATGGCATCAGAAGTGATTTAATTTAGCAATTATGATTCTTGTTATTAATATAAAACAAAACAAAAAAAAAACAATGCCATATTTTTGGAGAAGAGTTGGCAGTATATAAAAGGTTTTGTTGTCTTTTTCCAAAGAAGACTCATTTGTGTTCTTTTGGGGAACCAGTGCCTTATCGAATTTGTATATACTGTAATTATTCAGCACTAGGGAACAAACAATTGTATTGTATTTGTTACAAATTGTATATGGCTTTGTTTGAACATTCCCCCAAATAAAATGGTTTCATTCTCCCCTTGGAAAGAACATGTCTGCTATCTTATAGTTGTGCCTTTTTTCTGTCTTTGAAAATATCACATTGTAACAGGCGGGGAAGTCAGCCATGAGGAGTGATGCAGGTAAGTGTGTACGTTTGGTGACAGGAGAGCAAGAGAAATGGTCTGATGGCCTCTGTAATTGGGAGGTCCAGTCATCTGTTGAGAGCGAGAGAAAAGCTAGGGAAGTCAGTGGTTTAAAAGAAGCGAGAGTTTAAAATTCTACTGTGGAAAATTACAGCCAAATGGTTATGGGCAATGAGGAGGGGCCCAATTGAGATGAATAATAATACGTAGTTTAGTGGCCGAGAGTATGGGCTCTGGACTACCAGACAGCCTGTGTATGACTCTAGGCTCACACATTCCTTCAGTTGAGTGACAGTAGGCATGTTTTGACCTCTTGAAGACTCAGTTTCTTGTTCTTGAAGATGGCGAGTAATACTGATCTGATACCAACTGTATGGAGTGGTTCTAAAGATGAAATGCAAAATCCGTGTACCAAGCATGAGGTAGGCTCTCAACTGTTCCTACACATTAGCTATTATTATCACTTCACAATGACACTTTTCTATGTAGTTTTATGATTTCATTTTTCTATCAGCAACCTAAATGTAGGCATGGAGACTGCAACAATTGGATTCAATCTGGGCTGGGGTTTATCAGGCATATGGAGCAAGGGTCCTGGAAAATAAAGATACCATCATCAAGGGGATGGCTGACGTAGTCCAGAGTATGGAAGGGATTACAGAGGAAGGTAACTGATGGGTCACAGGATAGGGAGCCCTGGTGCTGTTGAGGTGGTGTAGTTCCTGTGGTCAGAATAAAGATTCAAAGAGAAAGCAGTGAGACGAAGCACAGACTAAGGGTATGATCACCGGAATGGGGTTTAGTTAGTAAACAAGATAACTGGTGATGAAAAAGGAACCCAAAAGCCAGGCGCTGGATTGGTCTTTGTGGATTTTGAAGCCTCCCCTGGATGGTGGCAGTCTAAGGAGAGGAAGATTGTGAGACAAAATTCTCCAGGACCACAGGAGAATGGGTGGGTAGTCAGCAAGGAGCAGAGAGTCAAGAGGCCTGCAGGGCCTGGTGGGCAGAGGTGCACAGGAGTGGGATTTTATGCCAGAGCGATGACCTGGAAGCAGCGGAACAGTATGAGAAACATTTCACCCATCGTCCCAACTGTGAGGTTCCTGGGATGTAGAAGAATGGAGGCTATTGCTGTTGTCCCTGAAACAGTGTCCCCAGGGAGGAGAAAACCCTCTGCAAAGGGAGAGGGAACATGTTAGGTTATTTTTCCATGGATTGTGAATCCTGGGGGACAGGCAGGGTGGAAAGTTTGGTTTTGAGGGGGGTGGGGATCCACTAGAGACTGGATCAAGAGAGAGGAAATCCAGAATTATTCGGGCATGGAGAGTACAGGAAGGCTTGCGTCTTAGACTCAGAAGCGTTTGTGTGATTGGCTGTGTTTAGGCAGCTGCACTTATGCCGTGAGAATTCATCTCAGCATAGGGATTCCGATTGACTTGGCTCACATCCCATGGTTTTTACTTTCTCATGTCTGTGGAAGTACATACATAATCTGAGTTCCAACCTTCTGCCCCTATAAACTGGGATAAAAATACCCACCTTGTAGGGCCCTTATTAGGAACAAATGAGGTGAGTATGTGAAGTATTGAAGACCCTATGCCAGGCACACAGCAAGTCCTCATAAATATTGCTTTCCTTTACTGATGTTAGTTTTAGAGGATATAAAACTAGCAATATTTTTAAAAAGCCAGAGTCGCTGTAGGTACACCTCTCCTACCCTGTTTATACCCCAGTTGTCGATGATGTGGGCTTTCATGGGAGTCAACGGCAGATATGTAGTAATTCAAGCTGAGAACAGGCTCTTCTCGGCATTGGTCATTGTATATGTTGCAAGCTCAGCAGTTCCTTCTGGTCACAGCAATGAAGTACAGATGACCCCACTCTCAGAAGGATTGTTATTTCTGCAAAATAATTCCTACCCTATATTCTGATATTAATTAGGCTGCAGGGGCCTCTGGGACTGATGAAGGTTCTTTGTATGATGTTCACATACTGGCACAGATGGAGGGACACAGAAGGTGGCCACGTCTCAGAACTTGCCAGTGACCTCAACTCGGACTGGGGGGCTCTCACCGGGGGGCAGTTAGGGCCCTCACTGCCTTGACTTTGAAAATGGTTCCATGCTCTCCTGGGTTCTGCTTTCCCAACAGGAATCCCAGCTACCAAAGCTCCAAATTAGAGCTCACTGGGTGATACTGGGCTGAGTCTGTGCTACCATGTATTTTCTTTGTGAAGTGTTGTTTTGTTCTTTAACTGAATTTTTCATTCTTTTGGATGGAGTTGAACTCTGTAGTTCAGCGACAGGACTCCCTTCTCCCTTTTGTTTACATGTTGTCACTGCTTCCTCAGCCCTGACAAA